GCCATCTACAGGGAAAGGTGTGTTAGTGGCCAGGATGACCTGGACCATCTGCCGGCGTCTGGTAAGATATTGTATCTTCTGGACGGATCCCTGGGTCAGGAACCTCATCAGCTCCTTGTCTTTCTGGCTGAACCAAGTGACCAGTGCACTTGAGGTCAACTCTTTGAGAAGGTCCAGGGAGTCAAACTGACCCAACTGAGGGCACTGCAGGCTGGACTTTGCCTTTCTCCTTAACTCTGAAGTAGGAGCAGCTTCAGGAAGCTGTACAATGTCATTGTCGTTTCCTAGTATCCTCACAACAGCTTTGAGTGTTTTTTTTCTGGCAGGTTTGGCCTCAAAGAGCTTGTGGCTCAGATTGGACTCCATAATCTCCATAGAATTCAGCCTCTTGGTTTTGGATTTACTGTGTGGGAGTAGAGGTCCCTGGTGACCACCCCACCTTGTGTCCTGGATTCTTCTCAAAGGCACCTTGGGCCTGTCGTTCTGAAGCGTCTGAAGCATACAGAAGACAAGGGAAGCCAATCCGAGGAGGCCCAAGAGACACAGCACTCTCCTCCTGCTTAGCCTCATGCTGGTACTTTTAGGGAAACAGACAACAAGGTAAAAATGGACAATCTTTGCGTTGCTCAGTTCACTCCAAATACTTCCTTCTCATTTGTTTTTCAACCAGATTCATCCCCCACCTCATTCAAGGTCCGTCTCAAGACCTAATTCTTTGACCTCACTTTCGGTCATCTTTTCCCCTCCCCATCCCCTTCGGCTCCCACCCCCAGCTCGGTTGCCAGGCTAGGACTGTTAAGTGCCTTGGGACGTCCTCCCAAAGTGAAAGGCGCTAATGTAAACGTAAATTTACATGATATTGTATTTGATTTGGTTGGCCAGATACCTGACCCATGTGGAAACCCATTCTCATCCTTAATAGTCTCCAAACCAAACAACTGAGAGTTCCACCTACTCACGGAAATTTCTCTGTGTCTGAAATGGAATGTGCACTCTCTCCCTAAATAGTCGCACCCGACTACCCTAATCCCAGAAAATATTAGGTCCAAATTGGCAAAGGGGCAAGGCTTGGGGACGCGAGAGCTAGTTTGTGTTGGGGTAACAGCTAAAACCCAATAGCTTGCCATTAAGAGCACAGTCTGATAAGAGTGCCTACAGTGTGAGTTTACAGTCCCACAATCTTCTGACTCAAGAGGTGAGAGTGCTGCCCGCTGAGCCAGGCTCACACACAGTGATCAGAAGTGTTGACACTGCACACACTTCATCATTCATTACGTGAGGCACATCTGGAGTTTGTGCTGTAGGAGAGTGAGTGGGAGTCAGACGAGGACACAATCAAACTTCCTTGCAATCCCAACCCCCCCCCCCCCCCCCCACCGTCTAACAGCATATGAACACTCGCACTTTAGATGCTGTGCAATAAAAGTAGAGTAAAGAGTTCATTTCACTCACGGAAAAACACACGTTATTAAAGATCTTTCAGGCTGTATTCCTGTTGCTACAGGGAGGCGCTTTCAATTGGTACAGAAATGTAAAGTCTGGGCAGATGTCTCCCTAGAGCCACACTGAAGTAACCAGGAGAAGCAGACACCGTGCACAATCCTCATCTCCTACCTTGTCACTTCCTCACTTGGGGACCACCAGCTGCTTCAGAGAGTTTGCAAATGCTTCTGCAACTCGGTCGAGACGGTCTCTCGGGGTGTGGTTTCTCTCCTCCAAATCTGTTTGATTTTAGTGTTACGTCACATCTTCTGCAACAATACAGCAAGCCTGAACTTGAGGGGATAAGATAAGCACTACGAGAGGGATTAACAACCAATAATCTAACTTTTCTCTGATATAATTACCAACAGTGCTGTGGGATCTTTCGTGCCCACCTGGACAGGCAGACAGGTCCTCACTTTAACATCTCATCCGAAGGACAGATCCCCCAAAACCAAGCCAAGATCTGAGTCAACCGAGTTGACATAACTGTTCAAAGACCAGGTGGCAGCAGAGTTGTACGGTTAGCTGGAGTGCCAGCCTGGGTCCCTCCGCTGATTTTTCACCAGTGACCCTGTGTGTGGATCCTGGATTGGGGACAAAGACTGGGACATGACTGTCAGACAGCCTGGCCCCAACTCAATGTCAAACAGTAGTGTCTTCGGCAATGTGGAGCTTGCAGAAGTATCCTCCAGCAGGAAGAAAAAGGAGTCAGAAATCGAAAGGAGAGGGGAGAGGAGAAAAGGGGAGAGGAGAGCAGAGGGGAGAGGAGAGGAAGGGAGGGGAGAAAATGGTGAAGAAAAAAATATGCTATCTTCTCCCATTTAGATTGTCCCATTTGCATTTGCCTGTTCAATAGGGCCAGACAGATCCCTGCTTCTAACCTTCTTAAACAGGGAGCTTGGGAGGTGGGATGAGCTCTCAGCAGCTCAGTGTCCCCTCTGGCGATTTCACTTATTTCCTTACGACAGCTGGGCAGAGATTGGGGAAATTTCCAAACTCCTGAGCTGCCAAAGCTCCCGAACCCATGCCCTCAACTCACCTCCATGGGAATCGATTCTATATGGCATTCAAGAAAGAAGCAAACCCTCTCCTTCACTCTCTACCCAACAAAAACTAACCTGCAATCGCTCATCGAATGTTTGACAACAGATACCAACCAACCCAGGAGTGAAACATCCCTGCGATGGGCAGTTACGCTGAAGAGAGTTCACGGTTACCTGGCTGATCGAAATTGGTTCCTTCATGGGTAGAAGACGGAACCCAAATACTTTCAGAATCGTTTCAGTCCAACACTTAAGTATCTTGATCAGCCTGCACTTTGGCCTCTTCAAGGAGAGCCAGACCTTTGCCTCCAAAAATTGCTCCACGAGAGCAATTTCCCGATAGCTGGCCATGGTTGGACTTTAATCCACAAAAGCCAATGGTAAGGAAGCCTAAACGCACCTGGTGAACCTAAACCTGTGAGATTTTGATAGGTGCATCTTACAGTATGTGGGAAGTCATTCATTTATGTTTAACCTTTACTCCTTTAATGCTCACATGCTATGCAGTAAACCTCACCAATGTATAGAATATTGATCAATTCTGAGTGTAAAACTAAGCATTCTTTGTTGGACTTTTACTGTACTTTTATATTCATTGGTTGAAGAATTCACGAGCGCTTGACGAATGCCAATTTATGCCAACGTATGAGCCACAAGCGGCAATTTAGACAATCATCCTGAAATCAATGACTTGAAATCCGACCGAGTTGTTGTAATCGTTGGGAAAAATGAATTGAGTGAGAGATCAGTGATATCTGCCAGACTGGAGGTGGACTGTGGATTTGGGACAGATTTGAGGAGAGTGCTCTAACCACTGACCTGCAGGACTCTATGGGGACCATTGCCAATTGAGGCACATCCACAACCCTGTGAGCTCAGGCCACAATGGGTAATATAATATAACAGTCCTTTCATTCGATTTAGCACCTTATCACATCTTCGAGACGTCTCAAAGCGCTTCACAGAAATATACTGTAAAGTGAATTGACTGTATTTTGTGGGCAAAACGTACATTTTGTGGGTAGAAAGCCCTTAGGACTTAGCACAAGTACTTCGAACCTTAGCCATGGTTCATAGGTTAAGTTGCATTGTTAGCATAGCTTTTATATTTATAGACACACAGCATTTCTGTCAGGTGTTACCAGTAATTATAAAACGAGAGGCATTCTCTCGGAGACGCATCTGACAAATGATTGTTTACAAGCCCAGGATCCTGCAGACATAGCAGCAATTTACAACCTTACATGCACCCATGTGGTTATTAGAAACAAATCTGGACCCCGCAGCAATGCTCACACATACCTGCTCGACTCCCGTGTTTGCCACGATCCCTTTATATTATAATCCATCAATCAGAAGGATGTGGGTTTAAGCCCCACATTAGGACTACTTGTTCATAATAATCCTTGCATTTGATTATAGCGCCTTATCACTTGTTGAGACGTCTCAAAGTGCTTCACAGATATGCTGTAAAATGGATTGACTGTAATTCGTGTGGATTTAGTGACCAGCTTTCTGATTATGTTGTTTGGAGGGATTATTATCCGGAAAGGGATCCACCAACAGAGCTGTGTGGAGTAAGGAAACTTGCCGAAGGTTTCTCCCCGCCCGGGAATCGAACTTGCTTTCGAAGCAAGCGCGCTAACCACTACAGGACATAGTCCATGCTGACCCTCCAATGATTTGCTGCATTGTTGGAGGTGCTGTCTTTCGGATGAGACATTAAATCGAGGTCCCGTCTGCCTGTTCCGGTGGACATTAAAGATCCCATGACATTACACGAAAAATAATATAATATAAAGGGAGATTCTCTCTCCCGGGTGCCCTGACCAACAATGCCATCCCCCCAGATAAAAATTGGTCACTGGTTTCCTGGCTGTTTGTGCGACATTGCTGTGCACAAATGGGCTGCCTCCCTCACTTAACTAAACACACAGTCACAGTGGAGTCCTGTAGCTCAGTGGTTAGAGCACTCGCTTTGCAAGCGAGAGACCTGAGTTCAATTCCAGGCAGAGGGCGAAACCTTGGGCAAGTTTCCTTACTCCACACGCCTAATAATAATCCCTCCAAAAAAAAAAAAAACAATAATAAATTGGTCATTTTCAATCCACGACTGTTTGCGGGACATTGCTGTGCGCAATTGGCTGCCGCGTTCGCCCACAAATATACAGTCAATTCACTTTACAGTATATTCTGTGAAGCGCTTTGGGACGTCCTCCCGACGTGAAAAGCGCTATATCAAATGCAAGGATTATTATTATTATTATTATTACACTAGATTAGTGTGACTGACAGGAGCTGCAGCAAATGCCAGATGATGATGATGATGGGATTGGTGGACAGAGTGGGATTGATGGGTTGAAAGCCTTTAGCTATTGCTGTACCCTTCACATACAATCCCTGATCAACCCTGAGCAAATCAGGGCTGTGGGACTTCACCCCCCCCCACCTCTCTCTCTCTTTCTTTCTCTTTCGTTTTCGCCCTCTCTCCCTCCCTCTGTCTCCGGCTCCGAGGGGATCAGTAAGCAGTGGGGTCTGTGCAATGGCTCTTCGCACAGCGACTCTCAGACTCTCCGCTAACATTGCTGTCAGACGCAGCGGCAGTGGGACAAGCCGCCTCCTGCAGCCAACACAGGTACAGCTGGGCAACACTCAATATAGCCTGTCACAGCCCCCCCCCGTGTGTACAGTAACAGCCCCTGTGTGTACAGTAACAGTCCCCCGTGTGTACAGTAACAGCCCCTGTGTGTACAGTAACAGTCCCCCGTGTGTACAGTAACAGCCCCTGTGTGTACAGTAACATCCCCTGTGTGTACAGTAACAACCCCCGTGTGTACAGTAACAGCCCCCTATGTGTACAGTAACAGCCCCCCGTGTGTACAGTAACAGTCCCTGTGTGTACAGTAACAGCCCCCCTGTGTGTACAGTAACAGCCCCCCGTGTGTACAGTAACAGTCCCTGTGTGTACAGTAACAGCCCCCTGTGTGTACAGTAACAGCCCCCCTGTGTGTACAGTAACAATCCCGTGTGTACAGTAACAGCTCCCCTGTGTGTACAGTAACAGCCCCGGTGTACAGTAACAGCCCCCGTGTGTACAGTAACAGCGCCCCCGTGTACAGTAACAGCCCTGTGTGTACAGTAACAGCCCCCGTGTGTACAGTAACAGCCCCCGTGTGTACAGTAACAGCCCCCCCGTGTGTACAGTAACAGCCCCGTGTGTACAGTAACAGCCCCCCTGTGTGTACAGTAACGTCCCCCCGTGTGTACAGTAACAGCCCCTGTGTGTACAGTAACAACCCCCTATGTGTACAGTAACAGCCCCTGTGTGTACAGCAACAACCCCCTGTGTGTACAGCGACAGAGCTCTCCTCTGTGTGTATTTATTCCCCCACCCCCAGCCTGTGCGCTCAGTCTCTAGTCTTGCACAGGAAAGGTTTAACCTTGGACCAGTCAAAATTCCTGCCTGGTCAGTGCTTCAAGTCTCAAACAAACAACTCAACTGTGGAAAACTTAAAACAAAAAACTAGTTGGAGGCTGTGGCCTGCATCATTACAAAGATTTACACAGAATGTACAGCACGGAAACAGGCCCCACAGTCCAACCAGTACGTGTGGCATTTATACGCTACCCGTGTCTACACTCCTTACACCCTCCCATACCCTTCCATTCCCCTCTCCCTCATGTGAAGATCTAGCTTCCTCCCCATTACGTCTGTCAAGGTTACCCTGTTTGTGTACCCCTCATTAAATATAAATATATTGTTTAAGCCCGTCCCTTTAATTAGGTTTTGGTTAAGAAAAAAAGCTGTTTGCAAGAGCACGTGAGGTGCCCAAGTTGCGGCAACATCTGGGCTGCTTGATTGACAGGCAGTTAGCAAACAGCCCGGAACATCACGTGGAAAAAGCCCGGGCATTCGCGTCAAATGGCGCTCGGAGCCACGTGCCTATCAAAAGCAATGCTCGGTGTGCTTCATGGTCACTGTCTAATGGTCGTCATCTCGTACGCACTGGCGTGTAACAGGTCCACCGTGCAAGTCAGGTCGGTTTCATTACTTTATACTAATGGAGCATTGTGCCGCTACTTGTTATGGTTCTGTGTGTTAGTTAGATTTGATCCCACTGTTGTATATCTTAAATTGTTGGGTTTCTGGTATGAAAGGTAGCCCTTGGGTTGTTAGGTCCTTAATAAAGAGCTGTTGTGTTGACCGATTGTATCCTCGGGTCTCTGTAAATTTCTAAGATAAGCAAAAGAGTAAATCATTTAAAGAGCAGCTGTCGACGTCAGAGTCAGTGCCGACAAATCCTGATCCGACATCTCGGTTACTGGGCGTTGGAGTTAACTGGGATTACCTGTGAGTGACTTGATTCTGACTCGGTTGAGACACCTTTGAGCAGCGACTCACACTGTCAGGGTTCGAAAAGACCAAAGGCCACTTAGTACATAAGAATTACTAAAATTCGCAAGTACAATAAGGAGTGAGAACCGTCGCATGTCTATACTGTCTGCCTCAACCACCACCTCAGGCAGTGAGTTCCACAATCTCCCTACCCTCTGTGTCAATGCAAGGATTATTATTATTATTATTAAGTAGTTCCTCCCAAATTCCCTATTTAATTCCCTCGTCGCTATCTTATATTTGTATCCCCTGGTTACAGACTCCCCACCCAGCCTATTTATCGTTCATCATTATCAAACCCCTTTTACAATCTTAAATGCTCCTGTTAGATTTCATGCCATAAACGTCTCTTCTCTCCCTGTTCCAGCTGTGCAGCTGTTTTGACCTTTAAACCCTGCTTCAACCTTGGCAACTATTTATATAACCACGCCATTGTATCGTGCATCATGACGTTAGCTTCTAAAGAGGAATAAACTGAAATGGATTCTGACGTTTTAACCCTGCACTAAGCTCCGTGAGTCGATCACCCCCATTCTCGATGGGTTTCTACTGACCCCCCACTCCCCTCCCCCAGAGTATCGAGGTTAAAATCCTTATCCTCGCCTTTGAAGTCCGCTGTGGTCTTGCTCCTCCCTACCTCTGTGATCTCCTAAAACCCTACCAATCGGTCCATTTCTTCCGCTCAACGGGCACTGGTTTGCACTACATCCCCCGCCCTTTCTGCCCCCACCCTCTGGAACTCCATCCTGGAGCCCCTCCGCCTCACCCTTCCTTGCCTTTCTCAAGATCTTCCTCTTCGACCATATCTTTGGTCGCCTTCTCAGCCCCACTCCCCCCTTGCCCTCCGCCCCTCTCGAATCCAGCTCGCAGCTCGGGTGCAAACCCTTCAAGCATTCACACTCTGCCACATGAAGGTGCTTTTATAAATGCAAGTAATAATAATAATAATAATAATAATCCTTGCATTTGATATAGCGCTTTTCACGTCGGGAGGACGTCCCAAAGCGCTTCACAGAACACTGTAAAGTGAATTGACTGTATATTTGTGGGCGAACGCGGCAGCCAATTGCGCACAGCAATGTCCCACAAACAGTCGTAGATTGAAAATGACCAATTTATTATTGTTTTTTGTTTTGGAGGGATTATTATTAGGCTCTGTGTGGAGTAAGGAAACTTGCCCAAGGTTTCGCCCTGTGCCTGGAATTGAACTCAGGTCTCTCGCTTGCAAAGCGAGTGCTCTAACCACTGAGCTACAGGACTCCGAATCCTGTAGCTCAGTAGTCACTGTCATTGATTCTGGCTGGGGTCTGCTTGGCTCAGTCACACTCTTGTCTCTGGGTCTGAGGGTTTGGGCTTAAAGCTGCACCTTGGGATTTGATCTTCTGGTTGGAGCTGACAACTATGGCTGAGGTGTTGTCCTTGAATGAGATCCTCACACTCATTTTCAAATACCTTCATGCCCTGGCACCTCCCTACCTCTCCGACCTGCTTATCCCACAACCCGCTGCCTCCTCTCGACTGGCTTCACCCTTTCTGCGTGTCCCTTGCGCCCTCCGTTCCACCGTTGGTGGCCACGATTTCAGCCTCTATGCCCCGAAACTCTAAAACGCTCTTCCTCTATCCCTCCACCTTGCCTTTCCTTCTCTCCCCATCTTCAGGTCACGCCCGAAGAACTTGCCCTTTGACTGCGCCTACGGTCACCTCTCCCACTCCCACCGGCTCGGTGTCGTGCTCCGCCACTGCCAAGCGCTCTGGGACGCTATCCTGTGTGAGGGGCGCTAGATAAATGCAAGTTGTTGTTGTTAAACTGAGGTCAAGCATTCAGGTTCTTTAGGTGCGTGTTAAATAGCACGTGGCATTGGTCAATGAGAGAAAGTCCTCGCCAACAAATCCTACTAGATAGACTGGGTGAGGCCGTACCCGGGAGCAGACTGCGTTGCAAATGGCTGCAGTGTTTACTTCCCAAATGTGGCAGGCGGTGATTTGTGATTGCTTTTTAATCAGTTCCTGTCTCACTCCACAGAGGATGCTGAGCAGCGAGGTGCTCCAGGCTCTCGAGACAGTGACGGGCAGCTCGGGGCTTTCTGTGGCAACAGCAGTGCGGGAGCAGCATGGGCGAGATGAGTCGTTCCACAGGTAAGGCAGTAATTTTGCACGCAGGGAGAACAGCGGGAACCTCTCCACGACGAGTTACAGTTGTACGGGGGCCTTTCACGTCAGGAGGACGTCCCATAGCGCTGAGATGTGAGGCTGTAACCTCACTTACTTGACACATTCCCTCTTCCCGGCAACATAACATATCCCTTAGGATCCCTCGTCCCAGAGGAGGCGTGGAGGAATCACGGAGGAAACGCAGTTACAAGTTTGCGATGATGATTTGGACGCTGAGCGCAGACCCATGGCCGGTGACTTTGTGTTGGCAGGTGTCACCCACCCGAAGCGGTGGTGTGGCCGCAGAGCGTGGAGCAGGTCAGCAGTTTGGCCGGAATCTGCTACAAACACAACGTCCCGATCATCCCCTTTGGCACGGGCACTGGGGTGGAGGGAGGAGTCGTTGCCTGGATGGTAGGTGCTGTGGACACATTGCCTTGGGGACTCCGGTCTTTTTGGATCACCCAGGAGCTTCCCTAACCAGCTAGTGCGGAGAGTCCCATCACAGCCCGTACAGCCAGGAGTACTGGAGCTCAGTGGTTAGAGCACTCACCTTGCAAGCGAGACACCTGGGTTCAATTCCAGGCAGGGCGAAACCTTGGGCAAGTTTCCTTACTCCACACACCTAATAATCCCTCCAAAACAATCCCTCCAAAATTGGTCATTTTCAATCCACGACTGTTTGTGGGGACACTGCTGTGCGCAATTGGCTGCCGCGTTTTGCCCACAAATATACGGTCAATATACAAACATTAAAGATCTATTTGAAAAGAGGAGAGAGTATCTCCCGCTGACCTGGTCAACAATCCCCCAGATAAATTGATTGCTCGCTTCATTTGGCTGTTTGTGGGACGTTGCTGTGTGCAAATTGGCTGCCATGTTTGCTTGCAAATACACACACCACAAGTGTCACCACACTTTAAGGAAAAGTGCTGGGAAGTGCTTTGAGCCATTTTAATAAAGGTGCTGTATTAAATGCAAGATGTACAGTTTTAACATGGAGTCTGAGGACTTGTCGGGCTGATTGGCTTTTCTCACGTCAGTACAGTAGGTTCTTGAGATAACTACATAAGGGTGGAACGAGGATATGCCGATCAACCCATTGAGCTGTTGATCATGCCCGATCTGCCCTGTCACTCACTGCGCAGAATCAATCCTGGACAACAAAGCACAGGTTAAAGGCATCGTTACAAGATTCAGGCTCAAATCCCATTCGTGACAGGAACAACTTCAGGATTATAATAATATTAATAATATTCCTTGTATTTGACACAGCGCCTTACCACATGTGCCAGGTCTCAAAACGTTTCACAGGATATTCTGTAAAGTGGATTGAATGTACATTTTGTGAGCGAAACGCGGCAGCCAGTTTGCACACAGCAATGTCCCACAAACAGCCATGCAGTGAGTGACCAATTTTATTTGGGGGATTGTTGGCCACGACAAATTCCCTTTTCGAATAGTGCCACGGCATCTTTAACGTCCACTTAAACAGGCAGACGGGACCTTGGTTCATGTCTCATCCGAAGGACGGCACCTCCGACAATGCAACACACCCTCAGCACTACATTGGAGTTTTCACCCAGACTATGTGAGTCCAAGTCCCAACATGGGATTTGAACCCAAAACCTTCTGACTCAGAGGCAAATGCGCTACCACTGCGCCAGGCTGACACACAGGATAACTCTCAAGTACGTCAGACTTCAAGTTACCATGGTTACACAGTCGCTGGAGTGGCTGAGAATGATGCACACAACAGGGACCTTAGTTAGTATGAGCTGCAGTGAGGCATTTCAGTGTTAAAGGCACAATACCAAATGGAAGGATTACTTATTAACGAGTTTGGAAAGTACAGTCAGGAAGGGTCCATCGGTCAGGGTTAGATAGGACTTAAGGTGGGTTTTGAAGGTGGGGAGGGGAAAGGGTGAGATGGAGAGACTCCGGGATGGAGTTCTAGGAAGCAGAGGGCGGTGGCGGCTGGGGGGGGGGGGCAGAATGGCTGAAAGCTCGCCCGCAAACGGTGCAGCAAAAAACAACTTGCACCACTGAGCATCACAGTGACTTCAGCAATTCCATTCACAAAACAGAAGTTGTTATAACAGGACTCGACTATCGGCTTTAAACAAACAGCACTTGGCTTGCCAACGTTCCCTGTTATATTGCTGGTGCAAATTGGCTGCCGTGTTTGCCCTCAAAATACTGTGAAGCACTTTAAGACGTTCTCCCAACATGAACGGCGCAGCATCAAACGCAAGGATTATTACTATTATAAGGATTATTACTACCATATATAGCCAATATACTTTTTGGGTAAAGCATTGTATCAAATGCAAGGATTGTTATTCTTATAAGGATTATTACCCCTGAGTTATGGGGGACTTCAGGCTAACTGGACTGAGCCGTTTAACAAGGAAAGTGTGTACATAGTGGACAGAAACTGGCGACACCGGAGATGTTGGCATCTGCACTAGATTTACCTGCCTCTCCTTACTGTACCTGACTTATCTCAGTGTTGGCCAACTTGTAGCGAGCTTGATCCAATCGCTCAGTTACAACGAGAGTTAGAGACTGATGGAAACTGGGGCTCCTCAGACTCTCATCGCTGCTGTTCCTTTGCCTGTCAGGGTGGCGTGTGCTTTAACCTCACCAAGATGGATAAAGTCGTAGACGTGAATGCTGAGGATTTTGATGTTACTGTGGAGCCAGGGGTCACCAGGAAAAGCCTGAATTATTACCTCCGCGACACCGGCCTCTGGTTTCCGATTGGTGAGCTTGTGAACCCGCCGAGCATTGCCGGTAACGTATTACAGGAACACTGCACGTCTGGCCAGGTCACAGGGAAACCACCACCACAACAACAAAATTGTATTATAGAGCACCTTTCACGTCGCAAAGGCGTCCCAATGTCCTGGACATTAAAGGGTTTTCACCCGGGTTGGGGGGTTGGAATCAAGAGGGTGGAGGAGAGGGTAAGTGGGAGGGTGTCCGAAAGCACGAACAAAGAGGAAGGTCTCGAGACGGGCCCTGAAGGAGGCAAGCGAGTGGAGGGGGGGGGGGTTGGGAGGGATTATTAGCCCTGGAAAGCAATCCACCAATCCACTAACAACCGGGATCCTATTTACTGCGAGGTAAACAGAGAGGTGTGTGTGGAGTAAGGAAACGTGCCTCAGGTTTCGCCCCGACCCTGACTGGGAATCGAACCCGGTCCTCTCGCTTGCGAGGCGAGTGGGCTCACCCCTGCCCCACGCTGCGGGACTCCGCGCAGGCTCACTTGCAGCGCTGGCGTTCGGCCGACTTTGTGGAGCTAAGGAGTGGGGTGGGGGGGTTTGTTTGTTCTGCAGACCCTGGTGCCGATGCCTCGCTGTGTGGAATGGCAGCCACCAGTGCCTCGGGTACCAACGCAGTGCGGTACGGCACCATGAGGGAGAACGTCATCAATCTGCAGGTGGTGCTGGCAGACGGCAGAGTGGTGCACACGGCAGGGAAGCATCGCAGGTTCAGGTACTGACTGCACTGAACGCCGGGGCACATACAAGCACACAAACACACCCACAGTTTATGTCAAAGACTCACAAATATAATGCCTGTATACTATATATAATATATACAATCTATATACACATAAAATACACATAAAAACATCAGAATTTGCTAGGCCAAAGAAGACCGAGATCCATCCAGTTGGCCTTCCACCATTATTACTATTATTATCATCATCATTATTATTATATTATTATGATTATTTTCTGGCAGTCGCTTGCATGTGTCACGTCCCAAACTATACACCGTATCCCGAGATATTGTTTCACATGTATAATAATAACAATAATAACAATCCTTGCATTCGATATCGTGCCTCATCACATCTTCGACACGTCTCACTACGCTTCACATGTGTATTCTTGAGACGTGCAGACGGTGTGATGAGGGCGCGAAATCAAATGCAAGGATTATTATTGTTATAGTATGATTATTTTCTCCTGCGCATTCTCAAAGCGTTGCTCTCTGAAAAATGCCGGGGCCACTCGTGTCCAGAGCTGAGCGGAAACTCCCTTGTAACCGTTCACACGTAAGTTATTTACAAAAGTTTCTACTTCAGCCGTAACTCCCAGCCCCGGCGGAGCAGCTGTGACCTGCCGTGACTCTCGCTATTTTTAGAGGTTTAATGTGGAAACGTTGCCACTTGATAAATATAGCCAGGGAGGGCAGGGGTTGGGGGTTGGGTGTGGGAGGGAAGATTTGCTTCGCAAACGGTTTCAGCCAAGACTGGAGGCTTTTACTCCAGGGAATGTTGTGCATAATTCCCCCCCCCCACCACCGCGTCAACTCAAACCAGGGTTCAGCACCACGGTAATAGTGGTGGTTGGTGTGGGAGATGCACCCGAACCATTTACTCTTCCTCCTGTAAACCCCAGGAGTATGGGTAAAAGGCAGGTCAGTGGGACTGAAACGATTGCGCTGTCAATGTCTGTGGTTCCAAGTGTTGTTAGAGTCCAGATCTGAAGATCCTCGTTCTCTCGCCTCTCTCTGTTCGCTACCTCCTCCAGCCCCGTTGTCCTGCCTTTGAACGCCTCTCTTCTGGTTCTGCTTGTTCCTCACCCCGACTGTCCCACCATCACTGGCTCAGCTTTCAGCCACTCAATCCCCAGCATCTCTCTGCCTTCTCTCTCTCTTTGCCTCCAAAGCCCTCTTCGAAACCCATGTCTTTGTCCTTTGGTTAAACGCCCTCAATAATAATGATATTAATAATCCTTGCATTTGTTATAGCAGCTTATCATCTCATTGAGACGTGCTAAGCCTTAAATAACTTAAATTTGTATAGCGCCCTTCGTGCAGGGCTGTGTTTCGGATTGCTTAACGATGACGGAGCCTGACGCCAAGCCAGCACGCACAGAAATGAGCACTCGAGCACATAATTTTGAACGCAAATACGTCTCGCACTCACACGGGCGTTATACACACGTACACGAGCACACACAGGTTTGCGCATATGCAAACGCACGAGGAATTGTCTGCGAGTGCACACAGAGGCAGACAGTCGCAGACAGGGACAGACAATAACAGGTGGCAAACCAGCACTAACGCCAGTTAACGACTGTGACACAGGAAGTCAGCAGCTGGTTACAACCTGACCAATCTCTTCGTGGGCTCGGAGGGAACTCTGGGGCTAATAACCCAGGTCACACTGCGCCTCCACGGGAACCCGGAAGCCATAGTTTCGGCCGTCTGTTCGTTCCCTAGCGTCCAGGCAGCTGTGGACAGCACCGTGCAGACCCTCCAGAGCGGGGTCCCGATAGCCAGGATCGGTAGGTAAGAGCAAGGGTAAGCCAGCAAGTACTAACACTCATTAGGTCTGGGGAATCCGATACAGAGATATGATGGCGATTCATTATGATTTCAATGTCCGTGAATGAATATCATGGTAAAGGCTGGAAATTGCTCCATTCTCGCCCCCAGGATGTCAGCAATAGGTAAACAGTTAAATTCTGGGAATGAGGCAAAGCTAAAGCACCCAACAATCTTCACTAATGGCTTCATGGAAACACAAAGAGGAAAATGGGCATTTTATGCAACCATCGTTTTAGTATAAGAAAACCTGCCACGAAACCCCTCATTCCCACAACTTCTAATGAAGGGTCCGGGGTGGGGAGGGGTGTGTCCGTGGGACAATTAGTTGCCATAAAAACTTTTATTTTTACCCAATCGGGAACGTTTCAATTATCTGCTTAACCCCTTTAAGGACGATCAGAGATAAAACCACAACACAGCCAAGGCCCGAGTACACTTGCCATGAGGTTATTCTCTCCGTTCACCAGGTGTGTAGCATTTGAATAACATTGAATGGCAAGTCCCAGTCTAAACAGCGCTGCACGTCGCAAACTGGGGTAGAGAAGCCCATTCACTTGATGCTCTTCCATCTGGCCCCACACCGGAAAGCCAGAGCTGACCTGGAATAGAACGCATGGCGAGGACCTGGGATTTCTTACACACGTCGCAGGGGAGGGTTCAGAACTTGGCTACAGCTCAGTGATCTGGTCTGGTCTGAGGCCGTGATCTCTCAATAGCATTCGCTCTCCAACCCTGATGCTAACAACCAAGGTTTCATCACCAAAGACAAGGCCAGTTCACACCGGGTTTGGAGGGCAGCTCTAAAACACTGCCCGATTGTCATTATTAATAATAATTCATGTTTAACAGTGATCCACTGGATATAAAGCAAACGGTGGCTTGGGTAAGAGGTTGGTGGGAGGAGGGATGAAAGGGAAGAGGGAAATAGATAATCAATGAGTGTCACAAGCAGAGGTGACTGTATCTTTACCTGGTATACGCAGCTTGGAAATCAAGCGGGTCCATGCAAATGGTTGACTGAAAGCTGAAGCTGTTTCTCTGCTCCTCAGAGTTCCTGGATGACGTGATGATTGGGGCCTGTAACAGCTACAGCAAACTCAACTACACGGAGGCATCCACACTCTTCCTGGAATTCCACGGGACAGAGAGGAGCGTGGAGGAGCAGATCCACGTGACAAGTGGAGTAACGTTCTCTTCTGAGCTGCTTTGGCGGCTTGTGATGTTTTTCCGATGTGAAGGGCGCGATAGAAGTGTAATTTGTTGTTGTTTTTGCTGTTGTAGTTTCCTGCCGCCCTCTCTGGGTCTCTCCAGCCACATGTTAGGCTGAGGAACCTAGCCCCCAGTTGCTCTCCTCCCCTCCTCGCTCCCCCCCATCCCCACATAATCTCGCCAACCCTCACCTCACCTGCCAACTCAGCAAACATCTCAATGGACAGGCAAGAGGAGCTACCATTCTACGGGGACTTCATAGAGGTGTATAACAAGTTAAATGGGATTGAATAAATCAACCCAGGACAATGCTTTAAGATGCACCAAGTCAGTAACACAAAAGGACACAGGTTTAGAGTTGCAGAGGGTAATTTCAGGACAGCTACCAGGAAATTCTTCTTCACCTGGAGATTAATTAATGACTGCAATAGATGGCCAGGACAGATGGTAGAGGCCAGGGCACTAGACTCATTTAAAAAGCAGCTTGATGCTATGATGTGTGGGGTGGACGACAGTAGAGTGGGGGTTCTGGAATAATGAGATTGGATGAGTCGAAGGGCTTTCCTCATCCAGACCAATCTTGTGACATCTAATGAGATCTAATAGAAATCGTCTCTAACCTCAAACGCTCCATTAGGTGATCACAGTTCTATCTCATTGGAGCTCATCAGCAAGGACAGTGTGGATGGTAGAAGATTCCTCACCGCTGTACCCAGGACCATTGGACAGAAGGTCCTGCAGTAACGTTGATGATCTTCTGATTGTCCTCCGGAGGCCCCTCAGGTGCAGCAGAGGGAACTCAGTCAAGAACAGTTATCGGGCAGTGGATAGAACTGCAACTTGCAAACCCAGATGCTCGCTGGTTCAAATCCCAGTCAAAGCTGAGTTTGCTGGTGCGAGAGAGAAGGCGTATTACTCTCTCCTATAGAGTCAGGGAGCCATATGTCAAAGGGAAGAAATTTAGAAATAATTGGACACCAGATTTAACGAGTTCGACGAATGGTACTTCGCAGATGTGTTATTTTGCAAACTGTTCTTCCTGCCTTTAATGTTCTACCTGCAGAGGGAATAGTGAAAGAGAACAGCGGGTCAGACTTCTCCTGGGCCCGGGATGCAGAGACGCGGAGCAGGCTGTGGCAGGCTCGGCACGACGCCTGGTACGCTGCTCAGGCCATGTGGCCCGGCTGCAAGGTGAGTTCGACCACGGCACTTTGAGAGCCGCACGCCAGCTTCTGACCCTTAGTACCTGTAGCTCAGTGATTAGAGCATTTGCCTCGCAAGCATGAGGACCTGGGTTCGATTCCCGGGCAGGGCAAAACGTTGGGTAAGTTTCCTTACTCCACACGCCTCTGTTTACCTGGCAGTCAGTAAAAACCCGGTTGGTATATCAAATGCAAGAATTATATATATTATATTTTAACCCGTTTACCTTGTTTTCAGATTTACTCGACAGATGTCTGTGTCCCACTCTCCAAACTGCCTGAAGTAATTGTAGCTACAAAAGAAGATTTGGTGAAGTCAAAGCTTACAGGTCAGTTAGTCAGAGATACTGCACAATGAGGGGGTGGGGCGGTTGGGTAACTGAGAGAGGGGAAGGGGCAAGGCTTGCTCTGGAACACTCCTCCACTATCCCTCCGCCTTGCCCCTTCCTTCCCCATCTTCAGATCGTGCCTGAAGACCTTCTTCTTCAACCGTGCCTACGGTCACCTCCTCCCGGCTCGGTGTACTGCTCTGCCTCTGTCAAGCGCTGCGTGACAGGATGCTAAATAAATGCAAGCTATCGTTGTTGTTGCTGCTGGGGTTAAGGGGGTAGCACTCACTGAGGGGAGGGGGGAAGCAGCGCTCACTGAATGAATTCGTTAAGCCATTCGGACGGAGCTCCCACTCGTATCTCTGCGTCTCATGTTAAGTCCATACCTAATACCCCTCGTTCACAACCCAAGGACCCATCGCAGGCCACGTAGGAGATGGCAACTTCCATTGCCTGATGGTGCTGGATCCCGAGGATAAGGAGGAGAGCAGGCGGGTGCAAGAGTTCACCAGCAGACTGGCCAGGTACTGAGACTCGAGGATCCCCCCAGGAAATTATGCGCAGAAAAACAAAAAAAATGCAAAAAATGAAAATTGTGCGAAATTAGACTTTCCTTTAAAACCACTTCAATACAGATAACACTGCTGTAGGCTCTTTGGAAAGATATGGAGGCCAGTTTTCATTAATTTTCTATTGATATAGCGCATTTATTGATACTTATACAGCACATTTTTGCTTGAAGTTACACAGGCGTATGATTGCACAATTCCCTGGGGTGTAATCATTCTTACATTTGTCTGTGGATTTGTTGGCAAGCACAGCAGCCAGTTTGCACACAGCAAGATCCCACAAATGCCCATTAAGTGAGCAAACAATTTGCCTTGAGGATTGTTGGTTAGCGCACCAAAATATCTGCATGTAAATGTGGACTGAATTCTGGCTAAATGTCACCTTCCATTTTTGTCAACTCTCTCTCTCACTCACACACACACACAGGCGAGCTCTGGCAATGCAAGGGACCTGCACCGGGGAGCACGGCATAGGCTTGGGCAAGCGACAGCTACTTATTGAAGAGATGGGGGACACTGGCATCCAATTAATGAGGGACATCAAGGCCACTCTGGATCCCAAGAACATCATGAATCCTGGGAAAGTGCTGAGGCTTGCTTCAGAATGCTGAAACTCCCTTCTTCCACTTGTAATGATACTCAATCCAAAGCACGGGCGTGTTAGTAAGTTTCTTTATTGTCAAATCAAAGCACTCCAATCCACTAACCATAACCACACTAATTTGTTCTCTATTCCCAGTGTCATAGGAACATAGGAACATAGGAACAGTCCCTCGAGTCTCTTCTGCCATTCTATTGAATGATGGCTGATCTGTACCTCATCTTGAAAATTTGAATGGATCCAGTGTCCTTTTGAACGTTCACATTTTCAAGAATGAGGTGGACAGATATTTGATGGGTCAGGGTACCAAGGGATACGGGGCAAGGGCGAGTAATTGGAGTTGAGGTACAGATCAGCTGTACTTCCTGTCTTATCTCATTGTCCCTTCCTTAATTGTTCTTTAATTCTTAAAGTGATATCCTACACAATATCCTATATGTTCCCACAACGAGAAAGTTACTGTGGCTGTCAAAATTGAGATTCAGAACCTTTTTTTAAAATGAAAGAGCATTATTAATAATAATAATAATCCTTGCATTTGATATAGCACCTTATCACGTCTCCAAGGCATCTCAAAGCGCTTCAGAGAATATACTGTGAAGTGAATTGACTATATTTTATGGGAGAAACACGATTGCGTACAGTAATGTAAATCATTTCCTGAAATGCTCATTTAAAAAGCTACCAAAGTTGATTTGATTTATCTATTAATTGGCTTGCTGAAGATTTTAAGTTGGCTATAAAACACACAAAGTCAAGAATTGGAAAGGGATCTCTCCCAAAGTTCAATTTTTAAAATGGTTTCTATTTGGAAATGGTTCAATTCAAGACAAATCTTTGCTCCTGAACGAAAATATATAACAAGATCTTAAGCAAAGGCACAAGGTTTATTGGTAGTGCAGATGTAATTGTACTGTTTATATTGTTTATTTTGTTCGACTGAAAAATTAATACAAGTGTAGTATCTATTTCTCCACCCTCACACAACACAGTAACTGGTGCTAATTGTTAATTGTACTTCCATCGATTGTGGATATTAAACGTATCAAGTGTGTGCAGTCCACTCATTCACCTCCCGCCACAACCGTCTGCACCCATTAAACTCTCCTACGTATATTCAAATATAGCAAGTTGAGTGCGTGAGAGGTTGAAGCAGTGAGCGGTTGAAATTGTCATTCAGTCCCTTTGTGACTTGGGTTATCAATACCGTCTCTTACAATGGGAAGCTGTGAATATTCGTTCATGTACGTCAGTCAGGCTGACTCACTTGGTAGCAGTCTCGCCTGAGTCAGAGGGTAGCAGTGGTGCTGACACAATGGAATCATTGTGTTCACAAATGTGCAAAAAAATCCTTCTAAATAGTTCCAATAATTCAACTGTGGTGTGATGTGAAATATCGAGCACTCTCTAAAAAATAAGCCTCGTCGACTGATTAATTGCGCAGTTGTTTTTCCTCACTGTATTTATGAATAGCTGAAACTGCATTTAAACAGAACTTTACTCCTGTGTGGACAAGTTCCTGCTGAACTGCTTCACTTCAGCGTCCAGTGCTGGAGAGAGCCTCTCACACTGAGCACCACGGAAGTTTTGTGTGGTCTTCACTTCCAATGTTCTGTTCTCCATTCGATTTGGTTGCTTCTCTCATAGGCAAAAAATGAACCTATGATTCAAGCTTGGGATGTTCAGAATTTTAAAGATGTTGCAAAAAAAATTAGATATCGACTATGTTAGAATAGAAACTTGTATTTTTTACACTGTCTCATCACGTCCGAATGTCTCAAAGCGCTTTATAGTAACTACTTTGAAGTGTACTTACTTCAGTTAACTTTATTTAATGCTTCTGCTGAAAAGAAGCTCGAATTGAGCAATGGAGATTCCACATGTGTCTGATCTTTATTTAGCAGTGATGCTGGTCTTCCTCTGATAGCAGAGCCAAGGAATTCACCATCTGGGAAAACGATGAGCATAAACCTGTGTCCCAGTGCTCCACAATTCAGCACCTTGGTATGTCAGCACGTTGCTCCATGATTATTCATTAGGTATTAAGGGATACGGGGGCAAAGGCGGGTAATTGGACTTGAGGTACAGATCAGCCATGATCTTATAGAATGGTGGTACAGGCTCAATGGGGTGAATGGCCTATTCCTCTGTTTCTTGTTTCGATGATGCCACTATTTGTAGGCTAGCATTGCCTTTGTTGATGCGAGCCAACAAACAGTGGAATCATGGGTGAGTTGAAAGTGGCTCCCATCTCAGCGGCTTCTGAATCCAAGTGAGGAGGTAAAATGTCTCCTTTTAGGCCATTTCTCCTGGTGTCTGACTTAGGCAATAGTCTCCCAATCATCAAAAACTGAATAAACAATATTAAAAAAAAAGTAAAGTTGGCTCGAAACATAACACACATGCGCCACATAAACAGAATGGTTTTTTTTGAGCGGGAGGAAGAAATACGATTGGGAATAACGTACTCCAAAACTTAAAAATAAAGCTTACAATGTAATTGTGGGAATGTTGTGTAGATTTTATTTTCCATCATTTTGAAATACATACTTTACATCAACATACAGGATATTATCCGTTTCAAATGGATTTTTTTTTGGTGTTAATCTCAGATCAACGTCCACTCGGTAAATTTAATATAAAAAGCAATAAATGTGCCTGTAAACATATAACATTGTTCAAGAAACTGCATTACAAACAAATCCAATCTGTCCACATTGGAACTTGGTGAAAGTCTGCTGGCTGGCTTACAGTGCATAGTGTAAAATACACTTGTTCGTTTAAACATTATTATCCCCCTTTTTATTCAAGTCTTTTAAAAAATTGACTTTCAGGTCAAATAATGACACACAGTAATGATACAGCATTTCATCTTCGAAAAGTCCGCTTTTTGTTTTAGCTGTGCTGTTTTGAGAGGGAAAAAAAACGGCTTAAAATCCAAGCATCCGTTCCATATTTCTTAAGCGTTAGTCTGAAAAGGCTAGGATCTAGGTTTTAATCGGATGCAGACAATCACCTGGCGAAGGGGGAAGGGGAGAGCAGGTCCAGCTCATCATTTCTAAGAAAAAAGGAGTGCCACAGATAAACATGGATATTAACACCATTGTTAAATAAGACAGCATCCTAGTCTCAGGACTGAGATTGCAAATCAGTGGAATACATGCCTTGTTTGTACTTCTGACTGATGAAAACTCGCTCTGTTCCCTCTTCTTTCTCCTCCCCCCATCTATTGACATTCTTATGGTGCTGCTGGAGCAGCGAGATAATGATAAGTGTCTAAAATGGAGTCATTGCAATGGATAATTTTGGGTTTTATCCCACTCGTAACTGGATACATTGCTGCAGCTGTTAAATCAGGAGTGCTTGATGTCACAACGGTTGTGAAAAAAAATACAAGCTCGTTGGACCTCAATGCAGGTTTGGTTTCTGTAAAACCTATGGCAATTGAAGATTGAAAATATGACAGTTTCTTGCATTGGGGACAGAGAAGACCCACAAAATCCCAGTCATTTGTATGGAAGTCAGCAAAATAATTAACTTCTAGAAAATAAAATTAAATAGAAACCTTACTGAACTGAATTTTCATTAATAAACTATACTTGTGCATTTCACACTCTCGTCTATCAGCATTACTCAGTGTATCAGGGATCAAAACCGCATTTACTAATTCATTTTTATATTAAGAAAAATGGGCATTTTCTTCAGTCTCTGTGGATAGGGGTCAGTGGTTAAGGGAGAAAACGTCTTAGTAAACGTGGTGCTGCATGTGATGTTTAAATCGCATTTTCAACTACTCGAGTGCAGCTTTTTTTTTGCTAAATATTAATAGATTTTCCACTTAATACCTTCCTGCTCCTGAAGGTGATCCCCATCATGTGCAACAATCCCTAGGCCAATTGCTTCTGACGTACATGTGGGCTTAGATCCATGATGTGCTATCTCCAGTCCTTGTGGGGAAAAATTGCTGGTCTCTGGTTTAATGGCTCAGCAAGATCAGATGTTGGGGATTACTGGGTCTAACCCACACACTGGTGTGTGGTCTGTGGTGGAATTCTACAGCTTTAGGAGGGATCCCTCTGGGAACCAAAATCACCGCGGTTCATTTTCCAAATTTACTCAACCCTAATTAGTTGTTGTTACTCTCCAACTTCAATTCAGAAATGGTTGCAAGTCGCATTCCTCCCTCCAAATCTACGGGCAGGATCTCTCTCATTCTCTCGCTGCTCATTTGCACCAACGACAATAAGAAGTGTTGTCACTTGCAGAGACAACTAGCACTTACACAGATCGAGTGAGGTTTAAGTAACAATACCCAACAATGCCACCAAGAACCCTCTTCCTGTATTAGCTTGAGGAAAAAGTCCAAGTCTCTGCTAGAAATTAAACCCTTCTTGGAAAACATTTTGGCACAGCCCGAACAGCCCTTTTCTGTGCTGTACCTTTCTATGATTCTAGGAATGGTCACTTAAATGAGGGACTGGCGTGCCTTTCTAGCCATTGAACCATACCTCAGCCTGAAGGGAAATAAGTCAAATGGCTTGAGGAAAGGGGAGAGTAATTTGGCAAAGCTAAACAATATAAATAATGGTTCTATTTCATTGGTTTATTTTTTTTTTAAAAATCACGCGTATCTGCAGAAAGCTTGGCTTCGGGCACTGCTGGGTTTATTTCACACACTGCAGTGTTTGTGAAATAAAAACCTCTCTCACCTGTGAAGACAAACACCAGTAACACAATGCTACCAGCGCTTCAGACGCTTATTTCATGCCAATTATTGAAAATAATTAAAAGAATCGCTTAAGAAGTTCCCTAGTTCTAAAGGCTCACTAAAACTCCCAACCTTTTAAAAGCTACACCTCATAGGTTTTATGTTTGGTGTAGTGGTGTAATCCAACTGACCTGATTTAACAAGTACCTTGCATGAATGAACTATGTTGAAGCGGAGACTAACCTTTACCAAATTTGAGCCACTAAGTGGTGCCCTCGTTGACAAGCAGTTAAATACATGCTACAACTTAGACTGGATACGATCTGGATAGTAGCCCATGGTACAAGCAAACTGTTTGAAATAAAAACACAAGTGACCGTCTTCTTAGCAGATACTATTCAGGTAACAATCTGCGACCGGCAGGAAAAGAGTAGGGATTTGCACCCTTGCCTCCATGTTCCGTATCTTCTGAAAGGAAGTTATTATTAAGTAGTTATTAAGTTCCCATTTCTGGAAACACTAGCTTGATATGGATTGAAAGAAAAAAAAAGGGAGGTGGTTGCGGTCTGACCACTATGAAATCCCACCATTACCTTCCTCAATACTCAATAAAAAAATCAGCACGCTATTTAAACTGAAGGCACTATGACAGCACAACCCAAAGAGACTGAATAGAAATTATTCCTGAATTGGACGTTAAAACATGAAGAGCGAGCAAGGATCTGGATGCATCATTTTGTAAAAAAAATAAAATAAAAAGGCCATCGAGCCAGGTGAGGATCTGCATCGGATTAAAGAAGTGCAAAAGCGTTCAGTAACCTGAAAAGTATATATACAAAAAAAATCAATAAAAAGTGCATTATGAACGTACTGTGCATCATCCAACATCTTGAAATCAAAGTTTAAAAAAAAAATAAAAAGGAGTAAATTCCTGTTTCGCTGCTTATACTGTATATACCTGAAATGTGAACATCTTTCAACCCAAGATCGATCACCTCACGGGACTTACTTTATCAATGCGACCTTCTGACCCAAGTCATTTAAAGACATGACAGACCATGAAATGCTTACAGAAATAGGAGTATAAAGCAGAGGCCAGAACAAAAACGCACAGCATAACAGCTGTGACACCACCCTGCTTTGCAAGTCAATCGCCGTCTAACATGGGAAACCCCGCCACCCATCACATCAAAACATTAATTTCACAATGACTGTACAGTTTCCAGGAAATCCTACGGTCTACTCACATTTCAGGGGGAAAAAAAACATTGCTCTTGAAGTTATAACAAACCTTATGCCCCAAACTGAGGCCGTTCATGCAGTGACTTGAATTACCCAATGCTGCTAGCAGCACGGTTCCAAATAAATGTTCATTGACCACTAGTGCAAACTCGGTTTTTAATAATTCTGAAAACCACTACTGAACACCACTTGGAATATGCTGGTGACAAGTGGTCATCATTCACTTAACTGCTTGCTATCCCCAAAATGCTTCCCCTCCTTTTAAAACACTACCTTTAGTCAGTCAGTCAGTCACTTTGTCTGTTTAATCGGTAGCTCACAATCAAACGCCAGTTAAAATAAACTGTTTTGTTTAACTAGCAAATGCTGCAGCAAGTGAGGGAATTCAATCCTCAATGTGTCAACTTGGGCATCTCTACCAAGCTGTCAGGATCATCCCCCAGTGACAGCTTCTTGGATCTATCTGAGATCACTGGAGAGTCAAGTGCTTTGAACCCTGGCTTGTGTTATTCCTGTCAACCTGTAAACACATCACTGAATAGCAGCAACAGTCCCTCAATTGGGGGATACGTGCTAGAACTCTTACCGCTCTAACCTAGCTGATTAAGCTCAACTCAGCCAGTAAAATAAAGTGGCAACCTAACCCCACGACTCAGCCATTCCATTTTCTGAGACTTGCTGGAAGCCAGTTTCAATGCAAATGGTAAGGATCTCACACTGTGCTGTATTTTAATGTGTGAAGACTATTTGTAAAAAAAATTAGAAAAGGGATTTTTTTTAAACTGTTCACATTCATCTAACACAAATTAATGTAAATGCTAATTCAACAGTTTATTGAACATCGTAATACACCATATCAAAACACCTTGACAATCAAAAGGACTACCCTCCCTCTCTCTCTCTCTTTCATTCTCTCCCTCTCTCTCTCTCCAGCTGTTGCAAACACACCAACCTGAACATCCAGGCTAAATAACATGCTGAAGTAAAGTTGATATCTTGAACAGCGGGACAGAGTAAAAAGTTACTTGTCTCTAGAGGAGATTTCAGCCATAAAAATTCCACCAGGATCCTGAAAAAAGATTCTAGATGTTCCTGTAGGATGCTCGTGGCAGTTTATAGTCACGGGGTTGCAGAGTTTGAGGAAACAGGGTCCACATTTAAACGTTAGTGCAGAGAAACCCTCAGTCCGAAAATAGTCGACAATGAGCATGGCCCCAAAGTACGAGAGGGAGTCGTTTTTTGTTTTTTTTTAATTTTGGCAACATCTTTCACAAAGTAGGATGAAGAAAACAGGAGCGTGCTTGAGTCAGTACACACATCAGCAAGAACACGCCGGCTACACTGGACACTGTGTAAAACACATCATGGACACAACTACAAGCCCACCGATACTCAAAGCTTTTACATTCTGGCATCTGCAGAACTTTGTCCGCACACCTGAAATTCTACTCCCCTTTGCTTCTACGCCTTTTGTGTTGCCGCCTTGAATCTCATCTGGGGACAAGTCTTTATGCACAACATCCTCAAACCCAAAAAGCAATCGTGCTCCATTTGGCTAGTCCCTTTTGCACTCCAGACCGGCTTTGCAAATTCATACAGTAATTCCATTGTTCTGGGACCAAGGTTATAATTTCCTACCACCTGGCGAGTGTTCCGGACAGCCTTCTTTATTCGAGTGTGCGATGCAGAAATTTCGATTGGTGCTTTTTGTATTGTTGTTTTTAACGCATTGCTGAAAATTTCAGTTTTTTGGGGTAAACTTCGAGCGTATCAGGTTCCTAAACTCCAGGTAAGGGTTTAGCCAAAGTGAGCAAAGCGCCCTGTTGAAAGGAAAACAAAGGCAGTCAGTCAGGTAACAGTGACATAACATAACCAATGTGATACTATTTGGTTTGGCAGCTGAACCTGTAAACGCTCCTCAATCTCCCACTAATTTTGACGCTGACTTTCCTCCCTTCTGAAGATGTTTTGATTTATTTTTCTATGTAATGGCCCACAGGCACATTTCCCCAGAGGCTATAACTCTATTATTAGCCTCTCCAGAGTGTCGACAAGCTCTCAACCATAGGGAGTGGCTCAGCCGTGGAATCCTGTGATCCACGCGCACGCACTTCACAGCAGAGTGACTGGGTGCAGATCAGTAGACGCAACAATGGTCAATTGTTGCCCTCCTTAACCCAAGGGTTAACCCAAGGGGCATCGCATCTCCCCCAACTGCTGCTTTGGATGCGATCAGAGTAGACCAGGAACTATTCAAACAAGAATGGCTCCTTGGACTAAACTGCAAAGGGGCTGCAACAATGTATTTTTATTTAAAGATAGGATTGACTTCTTATCTCTCTGAATCATATGAAAGGTTGTAGATATCACAGAACTGCTTTGATGCAGCACTAAATCAGAACTATGGGAAAAGCAGCACAGATGCAGCCATAATGTTAAACTGGTTTCGTGGATCAGCTGTGAAGCAGAGGTCACAGTGCAAAGTTTTAACATTTTTAGTTTTACTCTGTTATCAGTCTGTTGTGCTTGACTAGCTGTCTGTTCCAAATGACCTTTTGCAATGTAAATTCACTGAATAAATAAGTTATGACTCACTTGAAAGACAATATTTATTATTATTTTGTAAAAACATTACCATATTCACAGCTTTTCCAATCCTCTCTCCCCCACCACAATTTTTTTTCACATAGGACACAGGAAAATGCAGTTAGCTTTCAATAAGCCCCAGGAGCAGTTCATTGAAACATTTTGCTAAACAATCTTGAAAATTGGCCTCAGTAATTCCTCGATGCTAGTTCCCTGAAAGACGCAATGAAAACTGACAAAAGCAACAGAAATAGACAGGCAGAGAAGGAAAACACTAAAAGCACCGAGGGCTTTGAGGTATCTTCCTCCCTCTTTCTTTGATCTCCTCAGCAGATGACAGAGTTAGTGACTGTTGATCAGGCCACTGCCAAGGCATTCTCACACCAATTGGCAGGAGATGTACGGAACACAGTGAACTTCTTTCCTTGTGTGAAAGCACTAGTTTCCTCACGATAGCACAGCCACAATTACACAAATATTTTTAAAAGAAAAATACAAGACTGTATGGGAAAAAAACTAGAGTGGGATTAAACGGATAGCTCTTTCAGAGATCCAGAGCAAGCATGGGGAGCGTACAGGCTTTATCTGTACTGGACAATTCTATGATCCTGTGAACTGAGATCATAGCTTGTGGATCACAGCCCATGATGCTGTACAGAGGCATGGTGGCACTTCATTCAATAGATGGCATTGTTACACTGATTTGGTTTTCAGAGACTGAGGGTTAGAACCGGACATGGAGTGAAACTCATGCCACTGATTTTATTTCAAGGTAGTAACAACTGTGTGTAAAAAAAATGGCTGAGCAATGTCAGTCTGAACAGAGATTTAAATAATACTGAAGGATTTTGAAATTTTAACAAAATTACCTTACAGTGAAATAGTAGAAGTTGTACTTGAAATTTAGAGATCAATTTCCCAATCTCTCTGGTGCTTGGGAAAGTACCAGCAATGTAGAGGGGGTGGGGGGGGGGGGGGAAGCCGAGGTTGCCTGAACACAAGCATACGTGCAAAGATCAAGCACTGGTGTTTAGAAATGACCACTCCCTAACTAAAAGCACTTACGCCGACTTTTTTTTAGCCTCCAGGACTGTAACTTATGCTCTTAATCAATGAATATCAGTTTCCAGTTAATAATTCCCAAACGGACACTAACACACTGTCAGTGGGATTTACATGGTGCCGCTAATCTGTTTTTACAGTCAGTGCTCCAATCTCACCTGAACTCTCTGTAAAGCCACAGTCCACAAAATAAGATTTTCTACAATTTATGAGTGAACTGGTCTCATTTCAAACTGTACGCAAACCTTTGCTCCCAAGTGCAAGGCAACATTCTCGTGACCTGCACTCGGGTGTTATAGCACCAAGTCACAACATTGGCAGGATGTTACTTTTCACCACATCAATTACTGCAAGTGGCTTTCAACTTTCAGAGGCTTCAATAAAACAGTAATTCACAGCAATTTGGGCCAGTAGCTACTGAGTCAATTTCTCAATAGATTTTCTGATGTAAAATGGTTAAACTTGTATAGATACATGGTGTTATAAAGTCACCAATGGGTCAGAAACAGTGCAACAAATCCACTATTAGATCAATTTGGATGAAGCTCAGGTGTTTAAACACCATTTGGTGACAGCATCCCTTTTCAAGGTACAAACCATTGATTGCTCCTGTTCTCAGAATTGCGATCAAGGTTGTTCCTGCTGTTTAAAATAAACTTTGCACAATATTGTTCAATCTGAAGCCAAACAAAACAACATGAGCAAAGAGCCTCCAGAGATCTCGATTCACAGATACTTAATTTTGAATTGAAGAAAATTTGAAAGGCACTGGGGCGATCAGCTTGCGGCTGCAATGCTACAGTAGGTTTCCCTCAGACTGATTCAGGACATGCCCGAATTGATCATTTTTCTTTATCTTCCAGATGCTGACGTTCCGTCTGATACAGATTTCTAGCATTTCACTCTCGTCTTAGTTAGTTTAATTGTCATTCAAAACAGGAGTTCAAAATGTTGTACTTTATACCCACTGAATGATCAGCAGAGTTTCAATCCCTATAAAAAGCACTATTTTCACATGCGTTGACACAAAATATACTTGTACCTGCAAATCCCACTTCAGGATCTCAGTGAGAACATGTGCTAGTAAAGTCTGATCCAGACATGACCATATGGTAAAGTGCCTAATTCACAAAGAGGCAATAAACGAGAACTGAAATGAAAGTGGGGGCTGACAAAGTGGCAATGATGCTAAATAATAATAAATAATAATAAATAATAAAGCACATTAATGCTGTGTCACGAAGGGCAAGTGAATGCAAACTTGAACTGAGCCACATCAAGTGGAGAGGCACTCAGCAGAAGAGGTAAGAAATAGTAAAAAATAATAATCTTTGCATTTGATATAGTGCTTTTCACGTCTTCTAGACGTCTCAAAGCACTTCACAGAATATACTGTAAAGTGAATTCACTGTATATTTGTGGGCAAAACACAGCAGTCAATTGCGCACAGTGGTGTCCCACAAACAGTCGTGGATTGAAGTGACCAATTTATTATTGTTTTTGTTTCTTGAGGGTTTATTATCAGGCATGTGGAGAAAGGAAACTTGCCCAACGTTTTGCCCTGCCGGGAATCGAACCCAGGTCTCTCGCTTGCGAGGTGAGTGCTCTAACCACTGAGCTACAGGACTCCACCTATCTATCCTGCAGGTAATAACTATCCTGGACGTCTAGAACAGTCCTTGGCACTTCATGCTGTCCATTTTCAGGAGTTATTGGCAACTGGGAGCATGCTGTCCCTCTTATTTTCACACCAAATCAGGCAGACAAAGAAAGAATGCAGATGTGGTCGCAATGTGCAGCTTACAGGTCTCTCTCTGACCAATGCGTGTTTGGGAATGGAGAAAAGCTAAGGTAAGCTGACAGTTCGATCAGCTGGAAATCAAGCAATATTGGTGACAACTTAAGTTTTGAGAGGGTTTTGAAACGTAACAGTGGGTTTGCAACTGTGATAGTACCAAAAGTTCAAAATCCAGAGGTGGTGGATGAACTCACAGTTGTACCTGTAGCAGTGCATCCCGTGTTGCCTTTGGGTCACTGATACAAAACACAGTTCGGAGAAAGTGTGTTCCACCTTCCAATGATATGCTACCTTCAAGAAGTGTACAACACAAGGGGTTTGGATGAAGGGTTCCATTCAGACCATTTGATCTCATCCTTCCAAATCAGCAGCCCTGAAGCCTACTGTCTTCTTATTACAGCATCACACAGTTTCTTAAATAAGATTGCTGTCCTGGCTTCAACCATCCCTTTCATTCCAGCTGTTGATTACTTTCTGCATGAAAAAATATCTCCTGGTGTCTGTCTTGAAATTACTCTTCATTACTTTCAACTTGTTATGCATCATCCGGCAACCTCAACACATTAGAATTTATTGTTCTGGGTTCCTCTTCTCGATCTCATTCAGCACTTTATATAATTCTATCACAGCCCCCTCTGAGATGTCTCTTTTGAGGATGAAGAGCCCCAGTTTATCCACCCCCTCCTCTTAGCCCAATCCTTCAACACTGGGAATAGGCCTCATTGCTCTCCTCTGTATTGTAGCCGCCGCATTCCTCAGCTCCTCGGTTACAAGTTCTCTGTTTGAACCCATTTAACTGGGCTTTGCTGACTCAACCATGCATCAGCGTTTTCCTAATTTCTCGTGCAATCTGAGGGGATTATCTATAGCCTCAATTCAATATAAAAGAGCAAAGGTTTCACAACTCTGTGGAATCTATTTGTTTTATTATTCAGGTATTTAGCTTTAAGGATTAAAAGCATTTTAATGCATTGCTCTTGCCTCATATGAATATAACTAATAGTTAGGCACATTGCAAGCCAGCAGCTTCTGAAATCCCAACTTCAAGAGTTATTACTCAGCCTCTGTGAGCAAAACCTGTCTGAAGAGAACCGTTTCTAGCATGGTGTTGCTGTCACCACAGCTGTAATTTACAAGTCAAATGGACATGTCAAATGTACCGACAGACACGATGGGCCGAATAAGCTCCTCTGTGCTGTATAATTCTATGATTCTACTTGAATATTGGAACATGCTACAATTTACAAGTCAAATGCCCTCAATTGTTGGAATAATGCAAAATGTACATGTCAAATGCCCTTGATTGTTGGATCAAAAGGTCCACCAGTCAGTAGGACTTACCTTTAACCAAAGGCTGTAAGCAGCTGCAGGCCAGCAGAGGTCAGTCTGAAGGATGTTCCGGACATGATCTATTCACTTCAAACCATGAATCTATACAGCTGGAGAGGGAGAGAGGGTATTAAAACACTGTTACAGATGTACTAAATAAAAAAATCACAGACTACTTAAAGTCTACCAAAGGTCCCATCAAACACAAACATTTTGTTGGTCCTAACATTCACTGCAATAGTGATGTTTTGTTTTGGAACACTCAATCTAATTTGGTACCAATTCTGCCCCCATCCATCCCAGAGTCCCTCTGACATGCTTCCACTCTCCTTTCATTCAAACCCAGTCTTAAAATGTACCTCCGACGGCACTTTCAGTCATCTTTTCCCTCCCCACCCTCTTCAGCTTCTTCCCCCAGCTCGGGTGCCAAGCCAGCAGTGTTAAGTGCTTTCAGACATGAAAGACTGACATGAAAGACGCTGTTGTATTGTATAAACCTTTATTGGCATTTTACCAGTGATAGATACCATTTTGTTACTTAAGTAAACAATAGTAATTTGTAATGTTAAGGCTATCAATACTGTTGTTCCATTAAAAGGCAGCATAACATACAATGCCATCCTCTGGCTTTATTGAAAGGTTTCATGCAGTTATGCAGTACCCCAGGTGATGAAAGCCATTGCTTTGTGTACGGGTGTGAATTGTCACCTTCGGATGGTTCACATGTCGATTATAAATGTGCCTCACTAAACAAAAAAGGATTCAGCTGGATTATATTGGGAGCAATTACATGGCTATAACTAACAAAATACGTGAACATCAGGATTCCAGTCTACCCATCCAGTTTTCAGCCTGGGTTTTAAATAATGAGTGTGAAGATTCCTTGGAAATCACTTGAATCAAACAACACAAACTCAGGAGATCGATGAAAATCTCACCCATGACATCAATGTTTTGCTGTATCCACCTTCAATCTTCCTCTTCTACTTTGGACTTTCCACTTCCCATTGTCCCATTTAGTGAAGAATTTAATTAATTCTGTATTTCCTTAGTTCCCCCTTTTTCCCTGCAATATTCCTTGTCAGTCTCCTACATATTGTACTACCTCCGCTTTTCAGGTCGGTTTCTTGGCTTCTCTCTTTCCCTTTCAGCAAATTACAGTGTACTATTCATTTCAACTTGGCAGGAGAACCGACACAGTGATTGGCAGTACCAATAGCAAACAGTCTCACCCATCAAAGTGATTTTCGTTGCTAGTACAATAGGCTGCACATCTTCATATCCATTACACATTCAATGTGAAGGAAGGCCTTTTTGAATAAACAGTATGATTTGGGAGGAAGCTTTGGGAGGTGCTACTTGATGCGAGTCAGTTGATTACAGCAAATACACAGAAAAAGGGTATTGTTGGTAGATGTTACTATAATAATAATAATAAGGATTCATGTGCAGCTCCGGACCCCACAACAACAAATTCAAGGAGCTAATTAGATACTTGAGGTACAGGAAGCAAGCAATGAGTGGTATAAGACGAGATAGACTAAGAATTTTTCAAACTTTGGGTTACAGTGGTCTGTTTCAGGCATGCATATTCCTCCAGTTCCAGAAGTAAGCTTTCAATTGAAATAATAAAAAAAATTACAAGGCTGATTTTCTAAATTCGGCTGGTCAGGATGCAGATGCACAAACATTCTGAAGATACAAACAATTATGGAAGCGAGTTTGAAACATCCATCCATTTCACACACTAAGTGATGCTGTGCGTCTGCAGTGCAGTTGTAGCAATGTACACTGACTCATATTGGAGAAAGTTTACAGATTTAGCAAATGTTATGCAGGGGAACTGTAAAGTAAGAGACGTACATTACATAAAAATGTTTACGGGCAAAACCATGGACTGCAGCTAGTTCCTGACCTATATAAGCAATTTTCCAAAATTGCACCCAGGCTTCAGTAGGTACTGTGAAGTAAAGTTACAAAAATTCCGGTATACAGTATAATTCAGCACAGTGTACAATTGCCTTTGTTAATTATCACAGCTACTCTCAAGGTTGTTGATGCACCATTAAATGTGGCAATCATGTTTCACTCCCAATATTATGGGTATTAGCAACTCCTGTTATTTGTAAATCAAATGTATGTTTGCTTTGATTGAAAGTTCAAAATTGGTGATCTGTAATTTGGTAGAATTGCATTAAAAATTGTTTGTTTTGTTGAATGCAGGGGTTTTGGCACACTTTGTCGCCAAAGAGCTTGAGAAGAGAATGGTTGAGGGAAATGGGAAGATAACGTTGGGAATAAGACCGAGGAAGATTAAGCTGATGAACTATTAAATTCTATTGATATTGGATGTAAACATGCGTATGTGAAATTGACCAGTGACCTATTTGGGAAAGGGGAATAATTTTTGAGGTGGGAGGAGAGAAAAGCAAAGAAGTTGTGTTAAAGGCAAATTATTTTTCGTACCTATGAGTACAGAACACAGTACACTCATCAAGCATGATATGTTCTAAACGCATGTAATTTAATGAGGAGGATAAATATTTATAAATTGTTTCCTCATCAGCAATGACAGCTTCCAAGAAACTGCACAAGTCGGGTCAGCTGAGGCCACATGTCATGGGAAAAAGTACTTATTCTGAAACAACGGATTTATTCCTAAATAATTAAAGAGTAGTTTAATTTTTTAAAAAAAGAACATTAGTTGCTTGTGAAATAACAAATATGAAAATAAGTTTTTGTACAAGTACATAGAAAGATACTAGTTTCGTCCACAAAATATTGTCAATTCAATTTACAGTATATTCTGTGAAGCCTTTGAGCTGCCCCAACGACATGATATATCAAATGCAAGAATTATTATTATGTTCTCTTAGATTTTCCCACCTTTTCTGCTGAAGAGTCTGCCTTGTCCCAACTAGCATCATGTGGAGTTTCACGGATTTGACATTGGCCCAGTTCCAATGTCAGCCACGAATAGATAGCCAAGGTATTTGTGGATTCTTTGCATTTTAACAGTTCCAAAGATAAAAAGCGGATGAAAGGACAGTTCATGTTCAAGGTGCAAGTTGGTATACTTTGAACATCCAAACCACTGCCCACATCTCTTTTTGCTCAAGGTTACTTGCAAGAACATTTGGATGAAAAAACTCAGCAGAGGCTGGAAGTTCTGAGAAAGGACACAGATGTACATTACTCCAAAGTCCCTTCCTTTACACAAAGCATCTGTCCTCTGGATTGTTCAGTCCCAAGGGACAACAATTGCACACAGAAATAAAGCTACTCTTTCATGAAGCCTGCTATACAAGCAACGTGAACATAAACTGTGGACATATTGCTAAAGACTGGCCCATCTTAGGACACAGCTGATAGCTGAAGCTCACATGCTAAGTCAAATGCTTAATGCAGATACCACCAGTAAACAACACTATTCTTGACAAGGGTCATAGAAAGTGGAGCCAAAAAGGTCTCCAAAACTCCACTGTTTCCTCTTTGGAAGCAAATGTTTGTGTATTTATTGAACACCATTTTTAGTGGAGAACCTTTCTCCCAGTCAATGGACTTGGAGTTTTTAATCCCCTAACAAAACTTGCTTAGGGTCAGCCACGCAAACTATACGCAGGCATCTATGAAAGATTCAGTGATTTTTGTAGACGAGAATGCTGATCCATGTACTTGCTTCTGTAGCTGCAGGGTCCTTTGATAGATTCACTTTGTGTAAAATCAATCCAATCAGAATTTTAACCTACCTTTCTGAGAATTACAGTAGATGGCAGTGCACCACAGATTTACTCGAGCACACACTGGCAACAGACTGAACTCCATTGCTAGGTCACCACCTGACCTACGCAAACAAAAGGGAATGTCGCTGACACTGGAAAGGCTATGCCTATCTCCAGTTAACAGTTCAGCAATCAGCATTCTAGAGGAGGCTGACGGGACTAGTTACTAAACCATGTCAGGAGCCTGAAATTTCCTTCTTGCATTGATGATTCATATTAAAAAAAAAGTGTCCAATAAATTAGCAAAATATTCAGACTTTGAAAACCAACATGGAACACCTGAAAAAATGCAAACCTTCGACTGTCCAGAGTCTCAGATTTAAACTCAATACAACCCACATAAGGGAATGATTGACATCTTAAGTGACTAAGGATATCAAAGGAGAAAAGATACGGACATGATTAAAAGATCCACCATGATCTAACAGAATGGCAGAACAAGCTCAATAAGCTAAATAGCTACCTCATCATTACAACATGAAATCTGCTACAATGCCTTCATTGGGGACCCTAACTTTCAGTACAGAGGCAATGGAGTTTCATGGACTGTTTAGTTTTAGCTACTCTTTAAGTAATAGGTTGCACACCATTAAAAATAACTTGCCTCAGTCCTCAGAGTGAAAAATGGAAGAACGTGAAGGTGCACTTTAGGGACTAGCTATAAAATCCTCATCATTTTCACAGGAGTACAAAGAGCACTCCTGGGAGACAAGATTAATGGTCAACATGGGCTGCTGCAGATTTATATAAAATAATCTTTATATAAATACATTCCTGGAAGGAAGAAGAAAGCATGGAAAAAAAAACAATTATGTTTGTGCTTGTGAACTATAGATGTCTCTTAGACATCACAATACATCACCTGGGCTTACAACTCCACCACAATTAATAGCTGTGATCGGATCAGGAAGTGGAAAATATTCACTGCTAAACTGGTCTTCCTCATATAGATAAAATAGAAAAATTAATTGCTGCTGGAACTGGAAACTTGGAAGGATGACGTGCACAGTTTTTAAAAAAGCCTAAAATGTCAACTTCTCCTTTGAATGGTTAGTTTAGTTTCTAACTATTTTATCTAAGGCTCTCTTAACTATTTTGCCTAAGGCAAAATTACCAGGTAATCCAGTTTTTGAACCGGCCAATCTACTTTTTAAGCAGGGTGTCAGAATGCTAAACGTAAACTTGATTTATTCTTAATATCTTCCTTCTCCCCCTTTACTTCACTTTTTTTTATTAGCGAGTCAACATTAGTAATTTGGGATTAAAGGCTTTCAATGAATTTTCAGAATTAGCATTCCATACTTCAGAACTCAAGTCACGATCTCTCTCCCTGATTAGGCAAAATTCCTTTGTCTTTTGATGCCTGGGATCACTATTCGGACTGGACTGCATCGAGTGGGCACTCCCCTGCATCAATCAACTGACCAGAATCGCAACACAGCTCTTCACAGATTAAACACAATCCACTGTGCTGCTGCAGCTAAATGCACAAATCACATCACATTTTATTTAAGTATCATCTTGCCCTGAGGGCTGCTCATTTAAGGTCGACAAAATAGGAAAATAATTTGGATAATGGCAATTAACTCAAACATTAGGATTTTCAGGAGAGGCACACAAATTGAAAGTTACTTTGTTGATAAAATCATAAAGCTCTTAATATCTCAAGTACAAATGCAATGGCTCTTCTTTCCTCAAAGATACCGTGTGTTTAATTAAGTAAACCACTGTAAATTTATATTGCTGCCACCCCCCCCATCCTAACTATAGGTCAACCAGTGACAGATGCAGGCAATGAAAATGCCACATGTCCGTGTGGAATGAAGGAGAGGCTGTAGGTGGAGTGGAATGTGCCGTTGAGCCCACTCAGCCCCTTCATTCAAAAAGACAGTCCTTCCAATGTTGCACGGATTTTTGCATTATTTGTGATAGAATCACAAAGTTGGCGAATATAATTTCCAAGAACGACAAATAAAGGTTTCCTTTCATACAAATGAGTATAACTCTGCTTCAGCATAAATGAGGTAACTCTGGCAGCTATATTGCACACCTGGGAGCAAACAAAAAGCTAATCCAGATGACGCAATGAACCAACAGCAAAGCCTAAGCAATTTTAACTAGCCTGACAGAAAATGCATTAAAATTATTCCCAGTTATTTATTATTTATAGTTCTGCTTCAATATTACGCTGAGCTTTATTCTGTTTTTGGTCAGTTCTTATGTCAGGAGAGGCTGTCAGTGTAGATATTGTCAGGGTGCTCCATCATCTTAATACACAGTGACATTCACAAGAGAGGATTAATGATTGTGACACCATTGCTTCAGCTTTAACTGGTAAGTAAGAGAGGAGTTTGCTTTGGGTGAGTGAGGGTAGAAACTGGGCAAAAATGCAAACAAATAACTGGGCCATACCTTAGGGTCTGTGTTGAGGTGTTACACATATATATTTATATACACATATGTGTATATATAATATATATTAAAACAATTGAAAGTACACATTTACATTCAATCTTTATTTTTCCATTCAGCTGTTCTGATGAACCTGAAAGCTTTTTTTTCTTCTGCAAGAATTTCAGACACATGTCAAAAAAAAAACCTTCAGATTCTAATCTCAGATCGAGGGAGGACTGTGCTTTTGCAGACTTCAACTGGAGCTTTTCCCAAATGTGGAAAAGGCAGGAAAAGAAAGTGAATGTGCTGCCAATAGAGAAAATGGTTGGAAAAGGCATAAAACCCAATTTTTATTTTGGTGATGAAGGGCCATATTCAGAACATTAACTTGGCATTCCCTTTCAGACACTGATCGATTTCCTGTATATTTCCTGGACTTCTGGTTTTATTACAGACTTCCAGCAATCATAGATACACGTTCTCTTTGCGGTTACATCAATGTTTTATTTATATTTGTGTTGTGAGTGTAGGGAAGTACTGAAATAACTTACAAGGGTGTCAGCTTGCCTAAGTTAGTAATACTCCTCTGTGAAAAAGATATTCAGTTGTTAAAGGAAGTGCAGCAAAAAGCCAATCAATTAATTCCAGGGTCTTGGGAGGCAGAACTCATGTTGGCCACTTTAGGACTGCGCTTTCTTGCAAAAAGATAGAGGATTTCATAGAAGCATTTAAAATTATAAAGAGGTTTACATGTAGGCATGTTTTTCCATCATGTATAAAATTCAAGAACAAGTGATTATAGCTTCAAAATGAAAACAAAGATGATTTGGAAGTGCATAAACTATTTTAGTTAATAATAATAAATAATAATCCTTGCCTTATCACGTCTTTGAGGCGTCTCAAAGCGCTTCACAGAATATACTGTAAAGTAAATTGACTATATATTTTGTAGACAAATTATAAATATATGAAGGCATAAGTACAAACTGCCAGCAAAGGTGGTGAATCAGGAAATTGTAATGGGTTTCAAAATTGAACTAGATGAGTTCTTGGAAACTAAAAGCATTCAAGGTTATTCGATGATGAGAGATGTGTCAAAGTAATTTTTCGGAAGCTGAACAAACAGACTAGATGGACTAAAGGTCTACTCCTACCTGAAGCAGTTATCTGAACAATGTTAAGACAATTGTCTATTGTGTTAGCAGAACATTTCTCCTCTGATAATAATAGTTCCATTTGATATAGTGCCTTATAACATCTTCGAGATGTCTCAAAGCCCTTCACAGAATATACTGTAAAGTGAATTGTATATTTGTGAGTGAAATGTGGCAGCCAATTGCGTGTCCCACAAACAGTCGTGGATTGAGTGACAAAATTATAATTCTTTTTGTTTGTTTGATTTTTTTTATTATCCCAGAAAATCAATCCGCCAATCGACTAACAACTGGGTTCCTATATACAAAATATAGTGCCTTTCAAGTCGGGAGGAGTCCCAAGGCGCTGGACAATCAGTATTTTGGACCCAAGCTGGGGATTGGGATCGGGGAGGATAGAGGGGGAAGGAGGGTGACTGAAGGCACGGTCAAAGAAGAGGGTCTTGAGACGGGTCTTGAAGGAGACAAGGGAGGGGGCGAGGCGGAGGGACTGTGAGATGGAGTTCCAGAGGCTGCGGGCAGAATGGCTGAAGGCCCGCCCGCCAATAAAGTGAATTGAGTGTATATTCTTGTGACCGAAACGTGGCAGCCAATTGCAGAGTTACAGGTTACAGACTATACATCAGCATGTTTTCTAAACACAGTAATAAAATTTCATGGGCTCATAATTGAATGATCTGTGTTTCAAGATAGAGGCACATCAGCTTCACTAATGTAATCAGTTGCAAACAGATTTCCATTTTTAGTGGCGATGATGAATCATTTGAGCCAGCTCTCAAAACACTACCCCTGAATTCTTCACCCCACTCCCTACTCTGAGATTGGATTGAATTATAGCCAAAAGGTACAGCGCAGCAATATCATTACAAATCATTGTTCTGAACTATTTCCTTTACAATGCCAGTCTGAGTAGGTAAAATCCTTCATCTCTCACTTACAGGGGCAGGGTTTCTTCCCACTTAGACTCTTAACCACAAAGCCCTAATGGGTATGGTGATGCTTGTTGGACAAATATCAGGAAGTTTGCAGGAAGCATTTGCAATGGTTTCTACGGGTGTCAGACACCCAGCTGACAAAAAAAAACTCACAATATCCATATTCAAAAAAATTCACCAAAATCATTGCTACAGACATATTTTGTTTGATTTTACTCCGATCTCGTACCTTTTATGGTAAATACACAGACAAGGAAGCCGAGCTATTGTGTCTCCTTGCAGAAGCTCCTCCAAACAGATTACACATTCTCCAGCATCTTTACTCAGCACATCATCTGGAAAACAAAATAAAACCATCAAAGTTTAACAAAAAAAATCTACTTGTACATCCCTTTCAGTTAGTCTACTCACCAGTTTCAACCCAGTGTTTAATTAGCAAAAACAGGTTCACAGCAAAATGAGGTGAAAGATTCCAAATTAAATTTGATGGTTTTGTTTAAAACAAGGCAGTGTCGTAAGCAATAAAAGCGTACAGAGATTGCTGGCAGGAACAGCTGAAATACTGCCATTCCCCAGCTCTACAATGGGAGGCTGACCGGACACAGCAATACCTGCATTAGGCACCAGCACAAACCACTGTCACATCCCAGCATTTCAACAGCAACAAAGCAAATGCAGCGTACATACTTAATTCGTAAAGCATTCTCAGTTAATGTCCAGGGAGGCAAAATTCAGTAAATTACTAGAACCTGGTGCCATAGTTACAGTGGCTTAGGAGACCATAACAACTATGGTTCAATTCCGAAAGCAGAAAATACACCTCGACTGATGCAACTTGCCCCTCCGCTCTGAAAATCCAATCAGGACATGTGCACAAATAGCTCCATAATCCACAATGCCCCATCATACATTAATCACAACAATTTAACTGTATGGCACTCAATTGTGAGGAAAATCTAAATGAAACGAGCAAGGAACACTTCTTCATTCCCATTTGCTACAGAACTCATGATATAAAGCGCTTTGAGACAGTACTCCAAACGTAAAAGGTGCTATGTCAAATTCAAAGATCATTATTATTATTACGATGATGATTGTTGTGTCATGCATCAGGAACTTAACATTCCTTCAAGGCTGAGACTGATAGATTTTTAAAAACCAGAGGGATTAGGGGATATGGGGATAGGGCAGGTAATTGGAGTTAGATCTGAAGATCAGCCATGATCTTATCGAATGGCGGGGCACAGGCTCGAGGGGCCGAATGGCCTACTCCTGCTCCTAATTCTTATGTTCTTATTCAGCTGAAGCTGAAGACATTTTGGACCACAAGCTATAAAAATGTTGTAACTTGGTGTAGATTGACCATTGCTGTCTGTTTTATCTAATAATAGTTCTAATAATGCTTGCATTTGATAAAGCACTCTACACGTCTTCTAGACGTCTCAAAGCACTTCACAGAATATACGGTAAAGTGAATTGACTGTATATTTGTGGCTGAAACGCAGCAGCCAAGTGCGCACAGCAGTGTCCCACAAACAGTGGTGGATTGAGTGACCAAATTATTATTTTCTTGTATCAGGGATTATTACAGAAAAGCGAGCCGCCAATCGACTAACAACCAGGTTCCTACTTACTGCTGGGTAAACAGAGGCATGTGGAGTAAGGAAACGTGCTCAACATTTCGTCCTGCCAGGAATAGAACCCAGGTCTCTCGCTTGTGAGGTGAGTTCTCTAACCACTGAGCTACAGGACTCCACAATTCCATTTTATGCCAATAAACTGGAAGTGCCTACACGGAGTGAGCTATTAGATGAGCTTTTAATTTACTCAAAAGAGGGCAATAGAGTGCCGTACTGTATACATTCAACAATGCAACCTTTGGAAATACTAAGTGCCCCATAGAGCACGACAGCTGCCAGTCCTACAAAGCGTCTCTGTCCTGGTCAAACAGCAAGACTGAAACTTTGGCATACACGTTATGGAATCCATTTCCAAATCAGAATTATGAGGAGAAAAAGGGGAAAAAGCAATGTCTTGCTGCAAATGTAATTTTGTCAAAACATTTGTAAGAAACTTGGGGTGAAGTGCAAGGACACGCCAATCATCATGCAATATTAAGTATAGCTCATCAACTTCTAGTGCTAGTCTGACCGAGACTAAAGCAAAAGACTGAGGTTTTCCATGCAGACTTGAACTCACAAAGCTGAAGTTGATGGCATACAAGTATCTGAAGCAACACATTTGTACTGCGTAAAGGGTTAGAATGCTAAGTGCCGTTTGGTTTCTGTTTTTTCTCAACGAAGGAATGTTGAAGAACTTAAATCAGAGGCCAGTTGAGGCTACGAAAGGGAAAAGAACTGCATAATAGCTCAAGGGAGGGATCTTTATCGTGGCAGAAAATACATATTTTCACTTAAAATGTCTCAAAAGTCTCTATTGCACACTCAGACAGGACTTGTACACATTTTTAGGGAAGTAACCAGTAATAATAATAATCCTTCTTCCATTTGATATTGTGGCTTATGTCAAAACATCTCAAAATGCCTCACAGTTTTGTGTGATGGGAAATGACTCTTTGTAGGTGGGCATGGCAGGGAATTTGCACAACAATTTTCTCACAAAGAACCATGAAGTGAATGACTAACTTGTTATCAGGGGGAATTGTTGGCCAGAACATCAAGAAAAAAATCTCTTCTGTTGCCATGGGATCTTGAACGTTCACCCAAGCAGACAGACGTGACTTTGGTTTAATATCTCATCCGAAGGACGGCACCTTCTGCAATGTGGTGTTCCCTCAGCACTTGAGTGTCAGCCTAGACTGTGAGCTCAAAGTCCCATTGTGGGGCTTGAACCCACAACCTTCTGACTCAAAGGTGAGAGTGCTACAAAACAAACTGAGCCAAGCTGAGTATGCAAAAACTGCAGTTGTGTAAAAGTGCCCATCAATTTAAATACATCTTTTCTTTCCAAATCAATCCTTGTATGATGGTTTTCTGAAAGACCAGACATTTTTTATACAGCATACATATTTAACATCACATAAACAAAAAACAAAGTCAGCAATTTGCAAGGAGCCTGTTCTGCACCAGGTTCAATCAGTGAATTGTGGGCAATTTAACACCGCATCATGCCACTCATAGAAACAATCTCATATCTGTCACTCTTTACCTTGAAGCACAACTGGGTGCAACTGATAAAATCCATACTAAAAAGGTAAGGAGTCACAGACACAACTCATTTAATCGGAGAGCTGATTTTGTGTGCTGTTGTGTCAAGCACATAGACATGTCAGGCCACCTGCTCAAGCAGTACTTTGTTTTGACATGCAACATTTAATGGGAAATCAAAAATAATAATAATCCTTGTATTTGATATAGCACCTTATCACTTCTGCGAGACATCCCAAAATCCTTCACGGAATACACTGTAAAGTGAATTGATTGTAAATTTTTTGTGCATGAAACATGGCAGCCAATTGTATTTTGTTGTTTGATTTAAACATTATGAAGATGGCCAGGCAGCTTCAGTCTCCTCTCCCTCCTCAAAACAAAATGGTTTGTCGCATACCCTTTTTGTAATGAGGATGGTACTGTGCATCGAGCCATGCGTCAAGTTCCAATATCAGAATGTAACTCAAAATTCAATGGAAATTAATCAGCGTGGAAAGTTGAACTTTGAGATACACTGTCAACTGTACTCATACGCAGCATCATGATGTGTATAACTTAGGCTGAGGAAAACAGCTTTAATGTTAGTTCTCATGGATGGCATATTGATCTCCAGAGACCACAGACTGAAGAGTACATTTTATATGAAGTTGAGATTGCCAGAATTTTTTTTATTCTGTGGCTTTATTCTGCGGCAACTAACCTAAAATGTCACACTGACATTAGCGAATGAATGTTGACATCCCTTGACTGGAACACCAGAAGGCCCTCAATCAGTCCTTTGACATTATTGCAGCCAACAGTTGTATTCAACCTTGAAACACTCAAGATCAGGCCCTTGTTTTTAAAACAATGAAGTGCACTTAAATCAGTGCACACTGCAGAATCTCTTCCCTTCCCATACGCTAAACACCGCTCCCAAAAGGCAAGTGGATGATCACAATTGTAATGTGATAAACCATAATTATATTTCTTTTGGGGACAAAGTTGGCTCCAGTTGACATCCAGACAAGAATAAAATTGACTCAGCGGTTGTCTCACTTGGCCCAATACCTGAGCCAGGCAGGGCCATGGCACTCCAGTGAACTGTTGATAATAGACTTGTCAGCCTGGCTCATTGGCAGGACTTGGACGAACAAACCAGTCATTGGGATTCTTTCCATGCTTCTGCAGGTAATAACTCTAAAAGCCAAAGGTCTAATGGGTAAAGTGCTGTGCAACCATTAGCTATGGTTAACTAGCTAGTGGTTGCACAGCACTTTACCCTAACTAGCTATGCAACCAGCTTACCAGTGCTCTGCAGCGGTAAGCTGACCATTTTTTCCAGCTCCTGCACCATAGAAATAAATTGTTTCCCATTGATTCATTCACTTCATTCTGCACCAACCGCTGCAGTATGGTTTTTAAGCAAACCTTGATCTGTTAATTAATAAACTACCAACTGTTTTTGTTGGGTATCCACATGTGGGCTATGCTGAAAGGGAAACCGTTTCTTCGAATCTCAACCTCACAAGCTTTGGGTTTGTTAGTCTCAAATCCATGCACGATAGTTTTGCTCTCATTGGCTAGGTCAAATGGTCTGTTCCAATACATCCACTTGCCTGTCGGGAAAAAATGTGACAAATTTGCCTGCATCTGCAAAATTTACAATAACCAAACCTAGAAATTGCAATAGGGAGGAGAGCAAAATGCAGGACAGTCTCTTGTGAGAATAAATATCCTCCCAATTCTTGCACCAGAAACATAGTGTAATTCCCATCCAATAAATCACACTGACCAGGTAATGAGGCAAGGCTTGGACAAGCAAGAGCACACTGCAAACTAAGAATATACACAAAACTCTCACTACCTGCGATTTAAAGCCAAGATGCCAAACATATAAACTAGGCATAAAATGGCTACTTCTACAAAGAAAAGCTCTAAGTTGTTACCTTTCATCATTGACCTGAAGTGTTAACTCACTTTCCTCTCTCCATAGATGCTGCCTGACCTGCTGAGTATTCCCAGAGACTTCTGCTTTTATTTTAGATTTCCAGCATCTGCAGCATTTTGCCTTTTGTTTCATTCCAGTTAATGCAAGACAGATGCATTGAAAAGCCAAGAACTTAGTGGTTTACCTATGGTTAAAATGACATTCTTGATAAACTGGGGCTGTTTGGACCAGATAT